ATATATATATTAATAATAACGTTTGCATAGACATTTTCAGGGGCGGACTAGCCATCTGTATAATTTCCCCGCAACGAGGCTCCCCCTTTGACAATCCACTAGCGCAGTGTTTCTCAAACTTTTTCCTACCAAGGACCACTTAACCAATAAAAAACACTCATGGACCACCTAACTCCACAAATATCCAAAAACAATAGGCCTGCTTACCCATTCCAACAGTAACTGAAATTAATTCACTAGCACCCCCCCCTATTTTCGATTTTGGGGGTCGCGGGCTGAAAAGTTTGGGAACCCCTGCTCTAGATCAGTGGTGCCAAATATCATGTTTATACTTTTTTTTTTACATATAATTGTAACGCAATACATGATTGTCACTAAAAGTATTGTCTCTACATTACAATAAAATATAAAAAATAATTGATTAATTTTTGGATTAAGTTAGTAGCTTAGGCATACAAAGACAGAAATGTATAATTCTTTCTTTAATAGAAATGTTTCTTCTGCCCGTAAAGTGTCCAAACCAGGCTTTTCTGGATAAGCGCATTTTTTAAACTTAGTCATTGTCCATGCCGGTTTCAGTTGGATTATTTGTCACAGTCATAGGCGGCGCGTGAGGCTCAGGTTTGGGAAGGCTAAATAACTTGTTTTACCTGACGCTGCCCGCCTCCTGCGCGTCTATAGAAAAGAGATCAACTCAGTGAAAGCACTGCCTGCTGACCAATCAGAGCTCAGTGTGCGTACTTTAAATCTATCAAGTCATATCACAGGATAAAGGAAATACCGTTTAAACTGCCGTATGCAGAGAAGACGCCGAGGTGTCGCACTTTATCATTCATATAATATCATAATATATCACATTCCCTTATTTGAGTCAGCTTCTCGAGCCGTATCTGGCCGTGCATCACCTACATTGTCACATGGCTTGAAGTATTATTTTAAGCAACACATTAAGTTGACTAAACACTCAACTCAAATGTAATTAAAGTCAGATCCACTCGTGTCTTAGATGGGGCAGTGATATCATAAAACTGTTGTACGCTTTCAAACACTCTGTAGTAATTTTTTAACCAGTTGTTCTATATTCACCTTGCAGGTGCAACTATGTGGCTTGTATCCTGGATTATATGTTTAAATCATGGATGTTTAAAGTTCATATTTGTCTAATATTAGTTTACTTTTCATTAATGAAGTATGACGCTGCGCTGTCCCTATTTGTGATTGGTCAAATGTTGCTAACCCCGCCCCCTTTCACGTGAACGCGCTCTCAACTGGAGAGAGAAACCCTGACTTGATTTACCTATTTGATAACCAGCATCGTAGGACCGCTTAGCGAGATCTCGTTTGTTAGGGTTGGTTTAGATAACTCAAACATTCAGGGTATGTTGAACTGGCTTCGTAGTACAGGGCACAGGTGGCTGCATAGCAGCGCTAATGTCAAAGACACAAACATTATATTTTTTATTTTACCAGGATGCAGTGACACAAATATTTGGGAAGGCTTAGCCTTCCCTAGCCTACAGTACCCACCGCCCCTGGTCACATGTTGCTCCGATCAGATCGATCTCCTCCATTTTGTAGATTATTTACGACTTTTGAATCCACATAAACACATCTGCAAAATCCGGTTTACTTTGAGCTGGTGTTTTAAAAGTTTATTTAATCCCTTTGTGAATTGTTTCCACTTCCGCGCCGTCCTTTAATTTCTTCATACAGCGGGAATCCAAATTAATTAATCCTGAGTCCAATACCATCAAAGTCACTCCAATAGTGCTCCTTAAGTACACTTTCATACTCTTTTAACAAAATACTTCACATTAATCCAGTTTGTGACAGTAGTTGTAGCATTTTTGAGACTTTCAGTTCATACAATCATACGTATCATCATCACGGATCATTTGTATGAATGTGGACCGGAGGGAGAGGGTGACAACGAGCATAAGTTTCACTTTCCTTTTTTATTTCAATTCCAACTTTGGTCATGAAGAATTTGTTTCTCTGTTGTTCATAAAGCATAAAGCAACAGCATCAGAGCACGGTGCAGAGTCTCTAGATGAGTTTACAGTAGTCCCTCGTTCTATACATCCATGTTGTAGTCCGCTGTATAGAAAACTAGTTTCCATAGTTTCCCATGGGGTAGTTTCCCCACAGCAGCAGACGCACATTTATGACGTCCGCTGGCGCATCATAAATACTTCGGATAGTGAAAGGGCAGTCGGATTCTCTAAAGTACCGCAGTCTCTTCTCCTAAGTCCTTTTAAATTCTCCTATCCACTATCCCTTAACCCCATGACGTTTAACTCAGAGGTCAAGGAATAGATGATAGGGTTAGACGTCAGGAGCAGATTTTTGGATTATCAGACCGCAACCCGATACCGGAAGTGAAAAACATTCATATCCGGTGCTAACTAATGCCAAGAACAGAGAAAAAAAGCTTCATTCGCCTTTAAAGCGTATATCACAACCATTTCGGTCACCACGAATGGCGTCTCAGATCCCCATCACCGTCCGGGCTCCTCCAGCCGCCGCCAGCCCGGCCGCCCCGCGGGGGAAAAAGCGTCCCGCGAGCCCGGCGGCTGGTTCTGCTCAGCCGGTCCCCGGGAGCAGCAAGAAGAAGAAAGGGCAGCTGACAGCCACACCATCGGCGACACAGGTACAGTGCTACCGTCTGCATGTGAAGCGTGCATCATTGTGCGAAACTCAGAGATCTATATAACGTTTTCTGTGTGCAAGGGAATTCAAAGTAGCTAAGATGCAATGCAAGGGTTTCAAATACTGACAGAGGTGGGAGAAGTACTCAGATCAGATTTTTACTATCACAAGTAAAAGTCCCGCAGTTAAAATATAACTCAAGTAAAAGTAAAAAAATATTAGCATCAAAATAGAAGTACTCATTATGCAGATTAGTCCATTTCAGGATAAAATTATGACGTGTTTATGTGTTTATTATATTTCAAATCATTAATTCAAATCTGCAAAGTAACTAAAGATATTAAATAAATGTGTCACAGTAAAGGTACACAATTTACCTCTGTAGTGGAGTAGAAGTACAAAGTCGCATACAATGTAAATACTCAGGTAAAGTACAAGTATCACAAAATTGTACTTTGCCAGAATCTACCCAACTGTACCCACCTCTGAATACTGAATTCTCTACCGACACTTGATTAAACCTCATCGAAAACAAAGAAAAAAGCAGCATATTTTTTAACGCCAAAGATTTGTTTGTATTGTTTCCTAATAACTGCCTTTAAATGGTTGATCAAAGAAAAAGGAGTTGCTGATTAATTCTCTGTTATGTTTACTACTACTGTTTGAACAAGTAATGTTTTTAATAAAAAGATAGCCAAAAAGCAAATTATGTACATAAGTGCTGTGTAGTACAAATATCATAACAGCTAGAAAGCAATGTCATTAAATTGTATCTTTAAGATTCATGTAAGTGTGTTTTAAAAGTTAAAGTTAAAATCAAATATTTGTAATTCTGTGTTGTTTCTGTATTGTTACTGTTGCTGTCTGATGTCCTCTTTCATGCTTCATCAGATAACAGCAGCAGAGTCGGTGGCAGAGGTGAAGGCAGTGGGAACAGTTGAAATCGCTCCAAATGTTCTCTCTGAGTCAACAGCGAAGCCTCCACCGTTCAAAGACCCCGCCTTCGTGGTGAGTGTCTGCGTCCATGTGGGTTTAAGTTCATCTGCTGCTGAGGCTCTTCCCTCACTGTCTCTGCCCCCTCTCTTAATCTCTGCAGCATTCTGGGATTGGTGGAGCAGCAGCGGGTAAAAAGAACCGGACCTGGAAAAATCTCAAACAGATTCTGGCGTTGGAGCGGACTTTACCCTGGAAGTTTGATGATCCCAACTGTACGTTTTTATATCTTATAATTTCATGTTGCACACTTTTATCAAAAGTACACTACCAGTCAAAAGTTTGGACACATCTTCTCATTCAATGTCTTTTATTAACTAGATAATTCCATATGTGTTCTTTCATAGTTTTGATGTCTTCAGTATTAATGTACAACGTAGAACAACATTAAAATAAACAAAAACCATTGAATAAGAAGGTGTGTCCAAACTTTTGACTGGTACTGTACATGAAACTGAATCTTTTTTGTGGTGTGGTGGTTGTGAAAAAAAGTCAAAGCTGTGCTATATTATTACATAAATTACAAAACTGCACAGAAAAGTCTACAAGTAATTAAATGCAAGACCTCTGTGTTCACAGACTACAGCATTGAGGCCCCTCCCTCCTTGAAGCCAACCAAGAAATACTCTGACATCTCTGGACTCCCTGTGAGTTATCACTTTACCAAAATACTCACTTTACAATAAACAAAATCACTTTGAAATCTTCTCTGAAGCACACACTGAATACGCTCTCTTTTTCCTCAGGCAAACTACACAGACCCTCAGACAAAGCTCCGCTTCACGTCCTCTGAGGAGTTCTCCTACATCCGCCTCCTCCCCACTGATGTAGTGACCGGATACCTGGCCCTTCGAAAGGCAACATGCATTGTCCCCTGACAGCCGAGCAAGACTTGAAGAAAGACATTTAAACCCGAGCTGAACTCATGTTTGTGTTTGAGCTGTTGGGCCTGCAAGGAACCAATGAGAGCGCTGTCTCCACAGAGAGGACACGGAGAAGGGAACTTCTTAAAAGAACAGCTGGTGCCGCCAAACATTTGCACAGCTGTTTTAGGAAAGGCTTTAACTTATTATTCAGAGTTACTGTGTGACAAATAAATGCAACAAATAGTATACTTTATTTGAATGTTTATTCTCTTTACGAGACATGTTTGTTGCCTGTAGCTGGATTGGATATCATAATTTTACTCTATGAGAGAATGTATGAATTATCTTTAATGATATTTGTTCCCGATAAGTTTGAAAGCTTGATGTGGATTTGCTCCTGCTAAATCACATGGAATTACAGGGTGCTGTGCACCCCCTTGTGGTAGAACATTCAGGGGGGTAACAGTACAAAAAGCTGTTTGAAGAAGTTTGCCCATTTTAGAATGATTGTTACTTTTTACAAGTAGCTCATTGAATCTTACTTGAATACGTTTGATTTCAGTTTCTCTCTTCATCTGTGTTTTCTAATATGTCTTGTATGAATAAATATTTCTAAGTTATACATTTAGAAAAATCTATGTCTGTTCCAATCTCAAGGTTGCTTTTATGACAGCCTTTAATGACATTGGTTTGACAATAATATCAAACACTCCTCTGTATTAAGGGCCACATCTACTGCTGTACATTGGTTTAAAACGCAGTGGCCTGCATCTGTGTAAACTATGAAAATGTAGCAGGCTAAGCGAAACCTCTTAATGAGCCAAGAGTCACCAAGCAGTCCTAATTCACATGCGTCATATGTAAATGTAAATTAGTTCCACATGGTTCTAATTCCCCGGCTGCATTTGATGGATGATTTGCTCTCCGACTGGTACAGTGATGTCTCATTAATCACACATGGCAGGCATCCAGGATAATTTCCATGGTACATTTTACGCTATTTTCACACACTTGATGAATGAGGACCATTGTATTACTCATGTGAGCCATCCCTATAATGCTAACGAAGAATAAAAGAGCCGGCACAATTATCGAGGATCACAAGCTTGTGAATATAAACAAGTAAAATCATTCATATCCGCAGCCACTCTTACCACTGAGCTATTGTTGAAATAGGTTTGATCAATGTGCCATTCTAGTTTACAATTCTTTAACTTCTGCTATTGTTTTTTGATGCATTCTTTACACAGTCCCCGTGAAAACAGATCACCTTGTATCTTTGTTCGAAATACATCATCTATATGTGTTACCTATACCTTTTTTTAATGTGCCATAAGATCCCATTGTTCCCAAAAGCATATATGATTAATTGTGCAGAGGACCAGGCTTTACCCATGCCTGAGTGTTGCTTCTCCCAGCGCTGGACTTAGTTGCAGCTGATGAAGGCAGTATAGTATATCTATGAGAGTCAGAGCAGCATTTCCATTCCTGCTGTGGCATCAAAACCTCAACATAGTGATTAATGAACAGCGCCAGGGCTTTCTGCTACTCAAGCAGATGACCTGCTGGAATGTGTCTGCAAGCATGGCATGTGTGTGGTGTGTGTGTGTGTGTGTGTGTGTGTGTGTGTGTGTGTGTGTGTGTGTGTGTGTGTACTTACGTATATGTATGTACTACGTACGTAAGTTAC